TGGGTTTAACAGGTGTGTGGAGGCACAGTGCTGTCTTGGATATGGAAGAACAGGGCCTGGGGACTACAGTAGGATGGAGCAGGAGGCTGAGAAAGCCCAGCCTGGCAGGTCACAGGTATAGACAGTTCTAGGTGTAGACAGGTGCAAGGGTTGCCACGCAGGAAGGGGAGTCAGAGAAGCGGGAATAGTGAGGCAGCCTCAGTCTACAGGAGAGTGTTAGATGGCAAGGTCTCTGTGGTCCCCATGTCCCTGTGGCCCGGTTTGGGGACAGTACTTGAGTCTCCAGGAGGCAAATGGCAGGAGGGAGCAGGTCCCAGTCCCAGAAGCAGGTTACCAAGCAGGGCGCTGGGGGAGGAACTGAGGCAGAAGCAGTTAATATAACCTGGGGTTGAGATGAGAACTAGATGGCAGCAGAGATGGACTTTGAATAAAGGTTCCTAAAAACCCTAGTCAGGACTCTGCACAGAGACTGGGCGTGGGGCTGAGCCCGCAGGTCGAGGGGCCTGGGTACACCCTGGCATGGGGACAACACTGCCAGAAGTGGAAAGCAGGCAGGGCCGGGGAAAACTTGCCTCCCAGATTAAAATAACACAGTGACGGGGTGCAGACTTGTCTCCTGTAAAACACTTCTGAAGAGTGACATCTAGGGGCAGTGCCTTTTGAGCACGCTCAGGCAACTGCCTGCCTTGCGCAGAGGTGCTTGTGAAGACGTCATCTGGCTCCCCTGATTGCTTCAGCTTTACCTGACATGCATTTACTTAGTGCCTACTGTGTGCAAAGAACATCTTCAAACTGCCTGTTTATACAAGGCCGAGTTGTTCGTGCTCCTTGAAAACTGGCCTCCTTGAAACTGCCAATCTGTGCCTGAGTTACTACTTCATAAACTGATAGAACATCCTGTATTATGGAGAAGGAAGAAACCCGAGGGGTCATCTCATCTCATCCCACTCCTGCCGCACGCAGGAACTGCCCCTCCATCGTTCGCTCCTTCCCTCAGCCAGCCCCAACTGGGTGCTTACTATGTCTCAGCCCCTACGTGAGGGATTCAGGCGAGACGTGGCCCGGCTGCATGAGCTTACTCTAGAAAGGGAGAGACAGAGAGCAGACTAGTACAAATAACGAGATGCTGTAAAAGCAACAGGCAGGGGCTGTGGCAAAGAATAACACGAGAGGCCTCATTTAGAGGACGGCTCTGAGGAGTGACGTTTAAGCCGAGACCTGAAGGGCAGCGGAGATGCAGAGGAAGGTCACCGTGACCTGAGAGAGGGAATGCAGGGAGAGTGCCAGGGGGGCCAGGTTGGCGGCCAGGGGCTCCACGGCCCAGGGCCTGGGAGGGCAAGCTTAGGTATTGAGATTTTCTTCAAAGTGAGATGAGGAACCACTGAATGGTTTAGAGTAAGGCAGTAACATTGACTCTATTTCTTAACTTCAGTTTTTAACCAAATTCTGATCAATTTACAACCTTCTAAAAGACCAGATATCTAATATAATGAAGGAAAAACAGTAAAATGTTGACAGTGCTATTTTTAGAAGGTGAGATAATGTTTTTTTTTTAATATCCTCCTGATATTTTCAATATTTTTCTGGCTTTCGTGTTTTTAAAGGATTTACTACTGTTAAAATTAGGGGGAAAAATCCCATGTTCTTATTTAAAAATAAACAGGAAGCCAAATTTCATTTGCCAGTGATATAAATGTGTTTGTATGTCGTATATGTTCTATAATTGTTCAGTGAAATTTGAAACAAAGTGGTTCTAGAATAAATTTCCAGTGGGTAAAACATCGTTTTCTTTTTTATCTCTTCGGTAACTGAGAGATTTTTCTAAGGAGAATTTATTTATCAAAACCGTCATCATTGAAACATATCTGTTTAGTGCCCTGTGTGTAGCATGCTGCTCCAGAGGCTAACAGATATTTCTGGGTCAAATAATAGGCCTTGTTTTTTTGTCTTTTTGGCTGATTACAGCTTATTCCTGAACTCTCTCCCTATTCGAGAAATAATGTCTGAATATGGTCCTAGACTACACTGTTTACATGGGAAGGAGAGAGATATGGCATAAAGCAGAGCCCTCCTCTTTCAGTTCCCCTGACTTCCATCCTCTGGCCACTAGCTAGGTATATTTTTAAGTCTTTGCGTAGAAGGCTCCCCTCACCCTTCAAAAAAGTGGGTTAACTTTTCTCTGCCCTTCCTAACAGGTTATTCAAATGTGCTGCATGCATTAATTAACTTTATCTACTCAAAATTAACGATTCACTGGAAATGAGGACACCTTTAATTCAGAATGTAAATATATACAACATTTCCCAGTTACCTAAAAATGGCAGCTTTATTATACAAGATCCTGAGATGCTATTTCGAGAGTTTAGAGATGTGTTCCCTGAGCTTGAAGGACTTCATCTCAAAAAGGGAACATAAAACTAAGAAACAGAAGAGCTTCTGGAAGGCTTAGGAGTATGCAAAAAAAAAATTGTCACATGATGAGTCAAATGATGAAAAACCTTGCTGCTCTTGTTTGTCAAGCTGGAAACTTTAGAAATTCTGCATGTGTATGATTGTGTACGTCTATGTATGTGTGTTCCGCTCTTTTCCTGCTGTGAGTGAGGAGAGGGAGGCACACCTGGGGGTGGGCAGAGCTGGGACCCCACCTGCTCTTTCACCAGAACACTGCTGCCCTGTCATGTTTTGTACACTGCAGTTCTGCTTAAGACCTCATTTCAGAGGGGGCTTCTCAACGAAAAGTTTTCAAAGGTTGAGGACCTGCTGGGATGTACAAGAGAGGCTCCCGTCTGTGGAGTTTCTGCTCTGGTCCAGGCCCTGGGCTCAGCATTCAACATATTTCATTTAAATAATCCCTCAAAAAGCCACATGAGGTAGGTCTTAGTATTTCCACTTTACAGATGATGAAACCGAGATTCTGCCAGGACAAGTGATTTACATCATGTGCACAGCTCTTAAGGTGCAGGGCCAGAATTCAAGCTCACGTTTGTCTGCTCCAAAGTCCATCCTTTCAGCCCCAAGGCCATGCTGGATCATCTGCATTTAAGGCTCAAAATGCATATATCCACAGGCCCTTAAATAGTACCCCAATACTCCAAAACACTGATAGATATCCGTACCAGTACAATAAAATTTACAAAGGTGTGTTCTTAGTGGTGCACAATGCCTAGACATTGCTTTAGTGAAAGAGGTTTTAAAGACTTAAGAAACAAGCCTTGGTCACAAAACATGGAGAAATGCTCCCAGACTGGGAGGATAGACCGTGCAAAGCTCTGTGCGAAAATTTGTTGCTTTGGGTGGAAGCTGCCTGGAGGGGGAGTCGGCCTCTTCTGGGCCTCCCCATACCCTAACTCTTTTAATTAAGGAATATTTCGAAACTTAAAACAACAAAGAAGACAAAAGAGGAAGTACGGCTAGGATTTTAAGGGTGACATGGCATTAGAGGGTCTGTGGGAATGTTGTCAGCAACAGGACAGATGGGCAGACATTCTGGGGAAAACCACTGGCAAAAAGGAAGAGAAGATACACACAGAAATGAAGAGAGACTGTTAGCGAGGTCAAATTCCTGCATCTGTCTGACTCTGTAAACAGCACTGCTGCCACTGTGTTTGTTCAAAGCTACTCGCAAGAACCCCACCTCCAGGAGAGGACAATGGAGCATTTCCCCCCCTTTAAATGGTAAAATTCTTCCAGGTTTTCTTTCTTTTTTTTTTTTTTGTGGAACCATTCTTCTCTTCCAGGAAGTTGTCAAAATATGAGATTCTTAACTTTAAAGAAAAACAGGACTGAAATATGTCAAATCCCTGGAAATAGTCTGAAACCCAGTTAGTTTACACAGAAAAACACACACGAAAAATCCTCAGACCATCTGGCCACAGAGATCTCAGTTTCTCTGACAACACTCCTGGAACCGCGGGGGGGGGGCGCAAGTCCTGTAATCACCAAATCGAAAACTAGCCAGGAGAACAAAGAGGAACAGCAGCTTTCAAAACCACACACCCGAGTTCCTGTTCCACTGAGCTTTAAGGCCCGTGTCATCTCGCATGGATAACGTGGGAGTCTAGGAAAGACTCAGGAAAAAGACTCCTTCCCAAAATGCTGAGTATGAATTGAACCACGTTGAAGAGGCCTGAGGGAGGGGCTCTTGAAGGGAAGCCAGGGCAAACGTACAGCAAAAGGAACCACTCTTGGCCTCTGTTGGTCTGTTTTGTGTTCATAAGGCCATAAAATAGGTATATGATAGTAGTTACAACTTTTCTGAGTTATGTTCCTTCCCAGGTATTAAATTTGCAAGTGTGTAAATTTTACTCCTTGGGTATTTGAAATTTGATAGTCAAAGTGGATGTGGACCAGGAAGGAATGAAAAAGAAGGGAGAATGTGAACACTCCCAGGGAGGGGGGTCGGCCCACAGCGGAGCTTGCTTACAGGTAAGCAGGACAAGCTGGAGCTCTCTGTGGAGCCTGTAGTCAAGCTGACAAGATTCCAAATGAGAGAAGGGACTATCCCTGACAAAAATGAGAGAAGCAGACAGTGGTGCAGCAAGAATTCCCTGTGTTGGTAACTTGATAAATCCACGCTTGTAGCAAAAGTCAAGAGAAGCTCACTATCATTTGAGAGTCCAGAAAAATACACGTAAAACTTGGATCTTCCAGGCGATGTCTTGAACAGATAAATATTCAAAAGCTAAGAGCTGCTTGCCAGGCAGTCTTCCCCTCAGCCCTCTCTTCAGTACCAGCATCCTTCTGGTGTTCTATATTAGCCATCCCACCAATTACAGAATACTTGTACTTGCTATTTGGTTTCAGGTGGGAGGATTACTGAGAAGCATCATTGCACTCGGGGAAGGAACGGAGAAGATGGGGAGGAGGTTGGGGTGGTCACACCAGAAGGGAGTGGGCAGAGGCGATAGGAGCCTCAAAGTGGAGCAAGAAAGAGGTGAGGGCTGCTTCAGGCACCAGCGGCTTGGTGTTGGCAGTAGGCAGTCAAGAGGGAGGCCAGTTACCTGAAATTTCTGGAAGTGGAGGCTTGTCTTCTTTCCAGAAGTTCCCATCACAAACAGGAAGTCTGGGGTTAGCACAAACGGCACTCTTTCTTTATTAATGCCCAGGAAACTTTTGTAATTCCCAAGAATGTGCCCAAAGTCAATATGAAATAGATTTCCTGAAGAGAAGAAAATGACTGACATCATTATACTGGCATAAGCGCTTGTAACCACACTCTGGTTTATTTCTTGAAATATTTTTTTAAGTTGCCTGAAAATGTGCTATCTTGGGTAAGAGAGCTATTTTTACACTGTTTTATCAGCCTGTGATATTTTCGTCTTAGCAGGTGTGTGTCGTAGTAGCCACAAAGCACTCTTTGAACCAAGAGTGTTGTTGATATTCTTCCGGTGTTCTTTAAATGACAGCTGGATGCCATTAAAAAATCCTCATCTCAGAATTATTCTTAGAAATATAAATCAAAACTCTCTGGCTAATAGGTCGTCATTATGCTCAAGACTCTCTTCTCCCTTTATGTAACTCAGGATAGACTGCATTTCACCCCTTCCTGAGGGAGAAGCATTCACCTTGTCCTTTTGAGTAGCATGACAGAAATAAACCATTTTGAGGCTCCTTTGGGTCAATTTCTACTACCGTCACCATCACCACCAGTTACCGTCATCTCTTCTCATTCAAATAGCCCTTTATCACATGTATGGTCCATAAATGTGTCATCCCTTTTGATTCTCACAGAGAGTAAGGGATTTACCCCAATATGGTGCTTTTCTAGACTCTACTCTTAAATTGGTCCAAACTTCTTAGAGAACAGTTTCCTGGCATGGTGGCCAACACTGACCACTGTCAGAGTGGCCATTGAACCAGTAAGGAGGGGTAGATTATAAAGGCACAGCATTTTGGATTTAAGGATATCTGTGAGTTCCTTTTGTTGCTTCTCTGCACATCTGACACTAACTTGCCCACCTTCACTAACTTCTGGGATATGATTCTATTCTAGCTTTCTAGCTACTCTCTGACTTTTCCGTCTTTCTTTCTTCCTTCCTTCCTTCCTTCCTTTCTCCCTTCCTCCCTCCCTCCCTCTCTCTCTCTTTCTTTCTTTTTTATTTTTTGAGGAAGATTAGCCCTGAGCTAACATCTGCTGCCAATCCTCCTCTTTTTGCTGAGGAAGACTGGCCCTGAGCTAACATCTGTGCCCATCTTCCTCTACTTTATATGTGGGATGCCTGCCACAGCATGGCTTGACAAATAGTGCGTAGGCCCGCACCTGGGATCTGAACCAGTGAAGCCCAGGACGCCCAAGTGGAATGTGCGAACTTAACTGCTAAGCCACTGGGCCAGCCCCTGACTTTTCTTTCTTAAGTCTCATTTCCTGCATCTTTTTCTGTTACTTACTCCTGGGTCCACTCTAGGGTGATAACAGCATCTATGTCCCTACACGATAATGACTTCTAGATATGTGCTCCAACGTTGAACTCCACTTAAAAATTACTCTGTGCTGGCGGGGGGGGGGGGTGGGGGGTGGGGCAAGGGGAAGGGAGAGTCAGTGTCCAATGGGTCCAGAGTCTCAGCTGGGGACGATGAAAAGGTTCTGGAGGCGGATGGTGGTGATGGTCGCACAACAAGTGAATATACTTAATGCCACTAACCTATACGCTTAAAACTTGCTAAAATGATAAATTTTATGTTATGTATATTTTACCACAATCAAGAAAAGGTACTCTACAAATAATAAACTCACCCGTCTCTGTGATCATAATATTATCATTGTGCCTGTCGCCTATTCCGAGAACAAAGGTTGCCACACAGTAGCCAGCACAGGAATAAACAAATCTCTCCACTGCTGCCTGAAACTAATTAAAACGCATCTGAACATTAGTTGTGTTCTAATTACAAAGAGCAGCGTCAATTTATTGCAAAAGACTTCCAAGAAGATACTATTCTGGGAACCATTTTCAGAGGGCAAGTTAGTTGCGCCTGATTTCATTGATGTTAGACCTATTAAGTGCCAACTTTCTCATCACTACTTATATATATTCTATATTTTAGGTGAGGATTCGATGAATCACGATAGCACGGGGAGGAAACAAGAGTCAAAGGGCAACAGTAACTTAATCAAAGGGCTCACTTCCTCTCCGTGCATCACTTGGCCAACAACCATTCAGAACCCATAATAATTTTGCCTTCCTTGGTGAACGTGTGTTTTGTTTGTGACCACTTACAGTATGCATGGGTTCACAAATCCACATGTATAACAGACTAATAAACGCTACTAATTATATTTCCTCCCCAAAAGGCTGTTAATCGTGCAAATGAGAAGTGCTAATCCTGAGCAGCAGAACTTTAAACAGTCAGCTTGTGAAGGATTCAGCATGTGTTCTTCAGAGGAACGGTGGAACCGACATTTTCAGCATCTGTAATTTACCATTTAGGTTAGAGTGCGGTGGCAAATTCTAAATTACTTTAGAGGGGATGTGGTGTTTCCTAGGTAGGAAAGACTTTACACATGGTAAGTAAATTTTTCTGCCGAACGACAAAAATAGATGGTCATAAAAAGTGCTAACGAATTACTTCACAGAATCAAATTTTATGCAAAGCTCGCTTGATAATCAAAGCAGCAGCAAATGCTCATGGTGTTCGGAACTGAGCGCCTCTGTTTTATACAGAAGTGCTATGTCACCACAGAAAGTACTCAAAGTCCCCACAACCTGATGAATAAAGGACTTCACCAACACGTCGCAAGGCATGATGTTGGTAGATCATTCGAAAAGGTGAAACTGCTATTACTATATAAATGATAACTTGTCAGGAGCCTTCGGAGTAGGGGAAAGCTGGAGCTCACCTTTTCTTCAAGAGGGCATCTCTCTTTGAGCCAGTGACTCAGGACTTCATCCTTAAATGCTCCCGTGTTGCCCACTGTGCTTTGCTGAATTTTGGCAATTGTTGTGGCATCTTTTACAATCTCGATCATTCCTACGGGAGGATGCACAGAGTTTGATGTACACTGGGGCCTCGTGCCTGATCCAGAGGAGGAATGGCTATGTCTTTGTTGAGTGGAGGGCAGAGGGCTTTTTCAACCAGAGGGCTATTTTCTGGGTTCGTGCTGTTGGTTTTCTTAGGAGGAAGAGAAAGAAAAGGAGGAGGATATGGAAGTTGTGGGGGACACCCTTTCAATATCCCTGAATGAAGAGGAAAGGGTGGGTTTTGAAAGGTCCTAAGTAAATGCATTTCTGTGCTGAGAACTTCCTTTCTCACTCGGCAACCTGTGCTTTTCCTTTTTTAAATTACAGGGTCAAATGTAAATGGTTTTGTACAGCTCTGAAATCAGAAACTTGAAATAAAAAGGTTTGACTGAAACTGAAATGTTCAATGTCTGTAAAAGTTCCCAAGAGCAGAGTATGTAATAGCTTTGATAATTCGGGGATATTAAAATAAGTGACAGATCTTTCCGTCTATTTTTAAATGTTATTTGTGAGAGAGAAGTTTCCTGTGCAACGAAACGAGTTAAAGTTTAGAGGTGGAGAAGTCAAGAGCAGGGAACAAGTGCTTACTAAAATCGTTTCCATGTATAGTCACAAGGATTTGAATCATGCCTTCACGGATTTTCAACATATCCACATTAAATTTAGAGTCATATTCACCAGCCTTGCAACATCTTCTTCCTTTTCATATGCATGATGATTGTAACTTTTGAGTTATTAAATGACTACACTGAAGGGATTATGACCCTTTAAAACTAGCCGAGTGGTATATTCATCTCCCGAGGTAACCACATACCAATTTTGTCCCCAGTCGAAATGCAACCATATGGCAGGAGGCACAGATCCAAGGATTCAGTCTCCCAGATAGACTCCATGATCCTTAGAATCTGGGCATCAAAACACAAAAACGTTTCCATTATAAATATATGTTTTTCTTCTCCTTTAAAAAAACAACAATCTTATCTGGTAACACAAAGTATACAAGTAAACATAAAATTTATCAGTAATGGTTGTACTTTCATTTATCAACTTAGTACTTTAAAGTTTCCTTTTCTTAGGAGCCTGTTAATTTTGGTCCCTGGGATGTTGGGGAGGAGGATAAACGGATTTCTTCCGGGGTAGGTTTTAGATAGGATTCATCTATCCCAACGTTCCACTCTGGTTATGTGAACGACAAAACAAAGTACATAACGGGCAAGCGCAAACTGTCCCTCAAAATGAGAGGACGAATAGAGTGATGTGCTGTGTTTTTGAAGTGCCCATCTTCGAATAAGTCAAAAGATTGTACAGATTTATTGGAAATTTAATAAACTTTCAAAAGTTTGGAAAGATTTCTTTTTATTTTTTTAAAGTACTTCCAGGACAACACATATGCCATTCTTGAAAAGAGAGCAAAGGGTATTATTGTTTCCATATTAGAAATAAGTAAAAACAGAAACCGAGAGAGAATTGAAAACATGACCAGTTTTTAAATAGGCTACATTTAAATCAATGTGGTTTGCCTATTTTAAATAAATCACACTAAATATTAGAAATTATGTTACCTCTACAAGGTTGAACGACTAGATTATGGAGAATATCACTCTACGGATTTGCAAAGCTAAAGTTAAGCCAGAAATGTTAGAAAGTATGAAAATGATTAACATTGCTACCTTCACCATTCACCTTGTGCTCTAGGAATCCATTCACTGTTTTATTTAACTGCATGATTTCTCCACTTGCCTACCTATTCATCTTTTTCTCTTTCCTATCAAATCATTCACTTGAGTTTGTGTATGTGGATGTGTATCGAAGTGAAGTATCTAAGGAGAGCACCTGTGGGCATGTAGCTATGTCTATGAATAAGTGTCAAATGGATGCTAGGAGGTAAATACGTCTATATTCTATATTACCATACTAGGGATGGGGTGTATAAAAAAGAGGTTAGGTGAGGGAAGTATGTCTGGCTATTTGGGAATGTTGGATTTGCATCTTCTCAGGAATGGACAGAACGGTGATGCTCACTAGATTGCAAATCTAATGGTCCACAGCCAGATTCCCCCAGTGAGAACTCTCTATTATGTAAACTTTGGTCACTCACTGTTCATCATACAAAATAGACGAATGGGAATAGAGTCAGTAGAAGGCATTTTTTAGATCCAATACAGAATTCTTTTTTCAGATAATTGAAAACAAATTTCTTAACAGTAGCGTACCTGTAAAATAAGCATGTCTTGGCGCAGATCGTCTCCATGTTTAAAGATAATTCCAATGGTTTCATTTGAGAGAGCTGTAGGGTCGGCACGTTTAAACTCAAGCCACAGGGGCTTCTTCTTGGAGGCCATCACTTTGCATTTTTCAATCTGGAAGAAAACAGTCACGTGTTTCCTACCCACAGATGAACACATATGGTGGAGACGCACATCCTCTTGCCAAGCATCACCATAAACAACCAGGACAAAGTCCTCTAGTTGGAAAATTATTTTCAATGGTTTGGGTAAAGAAAACACAACAAGTCTTCTCGTCAAGTCTAAAAACACTAGCAAGATTAATTTACAGCACTTAAACCAGTGTTTCTCAAAGTCTGTTCCATGGAACCCTGAGTCTGTGAAGGTGCCTGAGAGGTTTGGCAGATCCCATTCTCTGCATGCCCCACTCCCATAGGGGTCTGATGCTCCCATGTCCCCGTTATTACAGAGCAACCTTGCTGTTATTTCTTTATATATTTGGGCTTCCTCTAAGATTTAATTTGAAAAAAAGAGTTGTACTGCTACCACAGTGTCTAAAAACTATTATTGCAGAATCAGATGCAATAGGCCAAATCTAACAAGATGAAATTTAATGGCAATAAATGGAAATCTAGCACTCAGGTACAATGCCTCTCCCTCCAAAAAAACCCCCCATACATCTAAATAGATTCAAGGTGAAAGAAATGTGGCTTAGCAACCACTCACTTCAAAATAAAAAAATCTTAGGAGTTTTAGCCAAAAGTGAATTCACCATGGATCAAAAATGTGATGTGGTCTTTAAAAGCAAACGCAATTTGAAGCTGTATTAATTCGTCATTATCCCTGCCAATCTCTAAGTGGATAAGGCCAGTGGATAGTGTGTGCTTTTGCTGTCGGGCCAGTTTACTTCTAATTGTATAGAAAATTAAACACGAAGAGATGAACTTCCCCTTCTGTCCAGGGGAAATATCTTTCAAAAATGAAAGTGGAATAAAGAGTTTTTCAGACAAACAAAATTTGAAAGAATTTCTTGCCAGAAGACTTGCACAATAAAAAATATTAAAGACTGAAGGGAAAATGATGCCAGATGGAAATACGGACCTATGCAAAGCAATGAAGAGCACCAAAAATGGCAAATGTGTGGATAAATAGAAAAAAAAGTCTAATCTGTTAAATATATTTTTAACTTTTTTTTTCTTTTTTTTTATTAATGTTATGATAGATTACAACCTTGTGAGATTTCAGTTGTACATTTTTGTTAGTCATGTTGTGGGTACACCACTTCCCCCTTTGTGCCCTCCCCCCACCCCCCTTTTTCCCTGGTAACCACCGATCAGATCTCCTTGTCAATATACTAACTTCCACCTATGAGTGGAGTCATATAGAGTTCGTCTTTCTCTGACTGGCTTATTTCGCTTAACGTAATACCCTCGAGGTTGCTGTGAATGGGCGAATTTTGTCTTTTTTATGGCTGAGTAGTATTCCATTGTGTATATATACCATATCTTCTTTATCCAATCTATATTTTTAACTTTTTAAAGCAAAAATAGTAAGCATGTATGGGGTTTATAACATAGGTAGAATTTAAGAGCATGACAAAAATAGTATAAAAGAGGAGAGGAGGTTAATGGAAGTATACTCTTGTAAGATTCTGATGCATATGTGAAGTGGTTTATTATTTGAATGTAAACAAGAGTGTGTAGCATTGATATAAGGATATTTATTTATTTTTTTGAGGAAGATTAGCCCTGAGCTAACATCTGCTGCCAGTCCTCCTCTTTTTGCTGAGGAAGACTGGCCCTGAGCTAACATCCATGCCCATCTTGCTCTACTTTATACATGGGACCTCTACCACAGCATGGCTTGCCAAGCGGTGCCATGTTTGCACCCGGGATCCGAACTGGCGAACCCTGGGCTTCCAAGAAGTGGAACATGCGAACTTAACCGCTGCGCCACTGGGCTGGCCCTTGATATAAGGATAGATATTTAGATCAATGGCGTGGATTAGAGAATCTAGATGTAGACCCACATATATACGGTCAGTTGATATTTGACAAAAGTGCCAAGGTATTTCAACAGGAAAAGGATAGTCTTTTCAACAAATGCTGCTGAAAAAGTTGGATATTCAGATAAAAAATGAAACCTGATCTTTACCTCACACCATACACAAAAATTAACTCAAAATGGGAAAAAGACAAAATGTAAGAGTTAAAACTATACAACTTGTAGAAAAAAATATTTGTCACATTGAATTAGGCAGTATTTCTCAATTTTGGCACTATTGACATTTTGGTCTGGATAATTTTTTGTTATGGGGTGGCAACCCTGTGCATTGTAGGATATTTTACAGCATTCCTGGCCTTACCCACTAGATTCTGGTAGCATTCTCCCAGTTGTAACAAGCAAACTCTTCTGCATACATTACCAAATGTCCCTTGGTGGATGGGGTATGGGGAGGAGTGCACCTCTGGTTAAGAATCACTGGATTAAGCAACTATTTCTTAAGACACAAAATGCATGAATCATAAAAGAAAAAGTGATAAACTGGACTTAATCAAAATTAAAACCTTCTGCTCTTTGAAATATACTAATAAGAAAATGAAAAGGCAAGCCACAGACTGGGAGAAAATATTCATAAAATATATACTCAATAAAGAATTTGTGTCCAGAATACATAAATAACTCATAAATAAAAATAAGACAACCCGCATTAAAAATGAATGGAAGATGTGAATAGAAATTTCTCAAAAGAAGATTGAAAATAAGCGCTTGAAAAGATGCTCAACATAATTAGGGACGTGCAAATAAAAACAACAGTGAGATACCACCTCACACCCATTTGAATGGCTACAATTAAAAAGGCTGATGATAAGTTTGGTTAGCATGTGGAATAACTAGAACTCACATACATTGCTGGTGGAAATGGAAAATGGTACAGTCACTTGGGAAAAACCATTTGGCCCTATCTTGCAAAATTAGACACACACCATCTGACCCAACTATCTCACTGTTCAATACTATTCAAAAGGCAAATGGAAAACAAATTGAAGTGTATCCATAAAGGGAATACTACTCCGTCATAAAAAGGAGCAGACTACCGCTACGCACAGCAACATGGAGGAATCTTAAAAGCATTATGTTAAGTGAAATAATCCAGATACAAAAAATCCATACTGTATGATTCTACTTCATGAAATTCTAGAAAAGGTAAAATTACATGATAGAAAGCAGAGCTGTTGTCCAGGATCAGGGACAGACGGAGGAAAGGACTAGCAACAGAGGGGGACGCGAAAGAACTCTGTCCATAACCTTTCTATGGAAATGTTCTATATCTTGATTGTGGTGGTGGTCATAGGGTTCTATAGATTTGTCAAAACTCATTGAACTGTACATTTAAAATGGACAAATTTTATTGTATGTAAATGATTCCTCAAGAAAGCTGATTTAAAATAAAATGGAGGGGAGATTGCTCAGTGTTGAGGTTTTTACTACCTAGTGGTGAGAGAAGGGCTTGACAGAGCCCAACGAGGGACTTTCCAGCTTCCCTGTCTCGACATAAACATTAGTATTTATCTCCTAGCCCTGTAAAGCATGCAGAGACATTTTCAAGACATAGAGACCACGTGGAGACATGGAGCTCATACTCACCACCAGCGCTCCTGCTTTCAGCCCAGGATCATAGGGAACTCTAAAGCTTTGAGGGAGATTCAAATTCTGCAGGTTTTCAAGCTTTTGCTTAAGTTGCGATATAACTGTAATTGTCAAAAGCACACAAGAGTCATTGTGAGTTCAAGAAACTATCAATATTATTTAGAACATTTCCTGAGACCACAGCTATTCAAAATGTTCTATACATTAGGTCTGGTGTGGAGGAGAAAAGGGGGTGGGGTTCTGTGTTTGAGGAACTAATCATTCGAGGTGGCAGGAGAAGTGAGGCTTACAGTGAGCAATAGAACCATGTACGCATACTCAGCGGGGACAGAGACGTGAATGTATGTGGGAGCCCAAGACCATCAGGTGGAGAGCGACGTTTTAAGGATAACGCTAAGGAATTGATACTGTAGTTTTCTTTCCAATATGTGAAACTTTAAACTGCCATCCGATTTGGGGAACAGACATTTGAAGACCACATTAAATGGAGTTCGGTTAGGATTCTGTAAATTCTTTTCAAAAGTGGAAGTTAAGTTGTGCAGAGACAATGTCACAGCCTCAAAATTCTAAAGGCAAAATATGTAAATTAAAACTTACTCCCTGGATAACAGATAGACTGGAGGCCAGTACAAATGTTTCCCTTTCTTACAGTAAAAATAAAAGTAAGATTATTATCACCATTATTATTTTTTGGAGAGAGCATTATTGGTGCATTGGAAAAGAATCAAAGGGAAAAAAGGGAAATTTAAAATACTCAGAAGTTTAAAATATCGACCGAAGGGCCAACCCCGTGGCCGAGTGATTAAGATCATGGGCTCTGCTTTGGTGACCCGGGTTAGCTGGTTCAGATCCTGGGTGCGGACATGGCACCACTCATCAGGCCATGCTGATGAAGCATCCCACATAGCACAACCAGGGGGACCTACAACTAGAATATACAACTATGTACTGGGGGGCTTTGGGGAGAAGAAGAAGAAGAAGAAGAAGAAAAGATTGGCAACAGATGTTAACTCAGGTGCCAATCTTTAAAAAAAAAAAATTGACCAAGTATCTTAGTGAGTGTCCATTACGAGCCATAGTGCTGGGTCTAGGTACACAAACATGAAACATACTCAAGTCTCAGACAGTTTACTAGACCAGCAAGATGTGTTAATGAGTATAATTTAATGCAGTGTGAACCCAAAGCTAAGGGAATACAGAGAAAGTGTGATTCTCCTAGGACACGGACAGGATTTCCTGGAAGACTATATTGGAAATGGTTTCAGAGAGGAGATGAGATATATATATATTGTAATATAAACTTTTCTGATATATATGTGTATATATACATAGAATATATATATCTATCTATGAAGGTATATATGGATATATATACTTAAAAATTTAAAATAGTTTCTCAATAATTCATTACTTTAAAACACTGAAAATTTGAAAATTATATGCATATACTGAAAGATGGGGAGAAAAAGGTAAATATTTGGAAATAACTAATCTTTTTGTGTGTGTGCACAATTGTTCCTAAAAAATACATCTTACATCTGCACAACGCCCTTTAAATTAAAAAAAAAATTAATATGGAGTATCATAAATTCATCATTAGAATATATATACAGTTAAGAAATACTAACTTGCAAAGGGAGAACTTTCAATTTGCTTGCTCCATGGAAACAGAAGATTGAAAAATTTGTTCTTGGCTGCCTTTAGGAAGGTGCAGCAGGCCTTGCAGAAGAAAGAGGAATGAGAGAGACGATGGCATTTGGAGATGAAGGCATTTGGAAAGAGGATCGGGAAAAGGTCACCACTGTACCTTGAGAACTGACGTCATACTTTTCAGCTGAGAGCGATTTAATGTCAATGGTGACTTTCTGTAACACCTCGATGACTTGGACTTGCTGGGTAAAGTCGTGCAGCATGGCCATACCACAGCCTCTCAGGTAGGCCTCCAGGATCACAGCGAACCTCTGCTGGTAGTGCCTGGACTGGGCTATCTCACTTCGCAAGAACCAAAACAAGAAGTGACCAATTCTTTTGTTCTGAGGGCGGGAACAAGAAGGTCGAACTTATGATGACTAATGCTCTAGATCTATGAGCCAATTCTGGATAAGTTTTGAAATGTCATGCTATTATCAAAATGGAAGCACTTACTCTTAAGCCACGCTTCAGCAGAAATCTGACAAGGGCACTGTCATGGTATGGTTCAAACTTCACAGCCTGCAATAAGAACACACAGGCATTTGTAGGACTGCGTTCTAGGTTGGTTAATCAGGAATAGGAAATGGAGAAAAATGGGTGCTCTGCCTTACTGGGTTTTTGTGGCTAGGGTGACAAGAATCTTATCAGTCACTTAAGGACAATCCTTTCTTTGCGAGGACACTTTGGGCCAGAGTGAACCACTTGCTTAAGGACGGGGATTACAAGCCGGAACTCGCCACTCATAGTCACGTGACTTGATAACTTCACAGGTGAAAAAGGAGAGGCTTTTGCTCCCATTAAGGGCTTACTTGATTTATTGGAAGGATAGAAGGAAAAGATGGAGATGGGTATAATGAATATATAAAAGTGGAAGGTAAGAGAGGTTGTTGGAAAGAAAATAGACACAGAGATATAGTACACGTAAGGAGAAAAATATTTGTTATATATGAAGATCCTGAAATCCTATAAGTTGTCTGCTGCTCAAGATGTGTGTGTGGCATCTCACTGGCAAATCACTGAGCTGCCTCACAGCTGCTTACTGCAAAGAAACAGCAGGCCCGGATCAGTCCACACAGAGGGACCACTACTCCCTGCCACCCTGTGGGGTATGCAGAGCTTTCTGTCTGAAAATCTCTTATCTTATATGCTTGCTCAGGTTTAGCAGTGTTTAGCAGTTCTCACTTCACTTGGCTAATATAGAGATATTGACTTTGGTGACAGCTCTGTGACTGAAGAAAAAGAACCAATAAAATGTAGAAAATAATTAAATCCTAGTGGGTACATGAAGATGTGTTATATCATTTTTCTGTACTTTTCTGTAAGTCTGCAATAGTTCATAATTTTAAAAGCAGCAAGCCTAACAAATATTGTTTGATTACTATAGATGCAGATATAAAATTATAGGGTAGATGTCACGTATAAGCATCATGAGAGGCTTAAAATTGAATATCTCAGAGTATTTCCTTTGTAAATAGATACGGTCCATCCTTTTTCCTAAGAAACAGGAGAAATTCCCATCCCACTTTATGTTTTAGGGCCTGGGGGCTTTTTGGTATGATTTCCAGTTGTTACTGTGGTTTTCCAGTTTGGAAATGATCGATCCCGACTTGATAATATTTCGATTATCCCCATACTTTCCATGGGCGTGGTCAAATAGGTGTCGTTGTAGCTGCGGCTAAGATTGCAATTCTGAGAATGTGGCTATTTAGCCACTGGTACTCACTTCAGAAATGTTTTGAGTTTCTAACCCGAACGTGAATCTTTCTGACCTTCTTCATGTTTCACTTCTGTAAAGATAATGCGGATCTCACCTAGCAGACCATTTTAATCAGGAATGAGTCATTTGGCTGTATCTGAAAATGTCTCAAAGAGTTTTACAAATGACTACTCTTCTTCAAATTTATGACCACAAATTCAATGTTCATATTACTTATTGACCTCTTTTATTTAAGTATTTCCAAGAACACTACTCATTTTCCAATTCTGCAAAGTTTACTTGTGAAAATAACAATACAACATAATTCATGGTAGCCTTGGGGACCTGGAACAGATGTCATCCAAACTTGTTTTATGTTCTTTTTGTTATGGACAGCTAGAAAACTGAATGTACTTTGATTATTCTAAAGTCTTCATTAGTGTTATGCCAGGATCTGAACTCGCGGGCAGAGAGAAATATTGGATATATGTGATAGATGAAGATAAAGGACGAATGTAATGTTTCAAGGATCTGCCTAATGCGAAGGTGCAGATTCAGAGCTAAAGTTGGGAGTGTCCAAAAGGCTCAGCAGAAAACTCCAAGGGCTTCCTGTATATTTAGACAGTGAGTAGACAGTTTAGTGTCTAACACTTAGCCTGGCGAATCCTAACAATCTTGGGTCAAACATCACCGACTGAGAACCGTCCCTGGCTTCCTTGGTCTAAATTAAGTGTCCCAGGACCCCTGACTATTTTCTCATAATACCCTGTGGTTTTGCACCAAAGCGTCTGTCACAATTTGTTTTAAATATCTACTCGCATGAGCGCTCATTTAGTGTCGGTCTCTTCCACGCGCCACAAGCTGTATGAGGGCAGAGACAGGCTCTGTTTTGGTCACTGCTCTATCTCCAGCTTCCAGAACAGGGGAAGCCCTCAGCCCATGTCGTTGGATGAATGAATGAACACGTCTGCACTCTAAAATAGCATTTCTATTCCAATTCTTTGACTTCCTCTTCCTTGTCAAGCAGCACAATATAATTTGAGAATGGCTATAGTGAGTAGAACTGTTCCTCCTTTCTTTAACTTCCTAAGAAACCCTTAGGCACATGACGTAGGCTCTGTGGACCCCAGGGGAAGGCATGAGAACAGGAGTGGAAACACAGTACTGGACCTGTCTAAAGAGAGGGGCTTTCAAGGTCCCATCCAGATATGAGACGTTATTCTATGAATTGTGATAGACGCGACCAGAGAGTATGACCTTTTCTGTCTAGGACACATTGTCCTGACACAGGATTCATGCAGGATATTGGGAGGCAGTGAAAAGAACAGGGCTTGGAGTCAGACTTCCTGGGTTCGAATTTCGGTCTTTCAAAGTACGTGACCTTGGGCACATTATTTAGCTTCTCTGTGCCTCAGTTTCCTTATCTACAAAATGCTCCATCATAGTTGTTGGGAGAGGTAAATGTGATAATACAAGAAGAGTATGTAAATCACTTGGACCCCTGGCACAGGGGAGCATTCAACAAGTCGAATCTATCATTAATATAGTAAATGAGAACAAAGCATTCCCATAGGGCCAGTTCTCCTAAAAAGTGAAAATACCAATGTCTTCAAAATGATGTTGGCAGACCCTCAAAGACAATAAAAAAGGAAATGGAACCGTTGGCTACTTTTTGAGGTGGCTTCATCAGACCTACTATGACTAATCATGAGGCTCTGGACAAGGGGCATTTGATTACAACCCAATGGGGTGCCTGTGCACATGCAAAGAAATTCCTCGAGAAGACTGCTCCGTTGGCAACAGCAGCATCCCCTACCTGGACCAGCTGTAGCAGGTAGTGCAGAACGTCATCGTCCTCCAAGCTCTCCAGTTTCTGGACCGCAATGGCTCTTACATTTTCATCTGGAAAGCTGCAGTCCAGGAGTTGCATCGTTAGCCCAACATCCAATGCACTTTGATCCCATACCTCCCTTTTGGCTAACAACTGATAAGTTTTGGCCACAATTTCTTGCTGTCCCCATTTCACTGAGCTAAATAGCTTAGGATATGCTTTTGGATGCTTAAGGCTTTCATATCTGAAATGCCAGAGCAATTCTTTGTCTTCTGCTGTGAGAGGGTTAAGTGGGTCAGTGGCTATGATTGCCTCCAGTTGTTTCCGAAGCTGGTTGGGCATTTCGGCTCGAACCCGGTCCCCTTCGGGATCAGGGGTGGGCCGATGCTTAGGCAAGGCTATTGGGTGACAGTAATTGTCCAGGAGAATGGAGATGGACATGGAGTTCTCCTTGTCCGGGTTGGTTGCAGAGGTGAGCTTGTCAGCGTTGAAGCTCCCTTGATCTTCGCCCTTCCCGGATAACTGCCACATGTGGAGCACGTATTCCCCGTGGCGCAGGAGGAACCGGTGGTCTATCAGCAGCAGGTTCACATAATAGAGAAGCTGAACTTTGCCTTTGGACTCAGAACTGGGAGTGTCTGCAGAGGCCTTGCCAGACAGCGCTGGAGCTTTGCCACAGTAGATCTGGAGGTTCAGAAGAGCCCCTTTGGGTAAGTCTTTGATTTTGATGCTGAATTCAAGCCACACGTTCCAGAGCACCTCCTCCGTGAAGGGTTTGGGGCTGGTTCTCCTTTGGCAAAGGACTTGCTGCCCATGCTGGATGTTTGCCTCCACAAACACCGTGAGGTCAGCGTTCCGGGGCAGGACCGGGATATCAATGCCTCTGACTTTAACCCTGAACTTCCGGTCACAGTCCCACAGGGACACGGTGAACACGCTCTCATGGTCCTTCCCGTGGATGGTCAGCTGCTCATGGTAGCCGGTGACTCCCGTGCAGTCATCCACCAGTGGCCACTCTTCTTTCCTCACCTGGTCCAGGGCTGGGTCCGGAGGAGTGTCAAGCACCAGGTGAATCTCCTCCCCATTCTTGAGGCACTGCCTCACCCACTGAAAGTTTTTGATGGGCGTTTCACCCACCAGGTACTCATCCCGGCCACAGACGCGCAGCACAAAGTCCTGTTCGTTTTGGCTTTCCGGGATATCCATCAGAGACTTCTTCTTGGCCATCTTGGTGAAGAAGCTCTGGAGGATGGTGCCTGGGGTATCATCTGCCGAGACCTTGATGGTCTGGCTGGTGGTGCTGCGATGAATGACAATGAAGATGCAGTTGTTGGTAATCTTCTTCAACAGGTACTCCGGCAGGGGCTTGGACGTCACCCAGGGGTGCATGGCGTAGAGCTTGGGGTCACGGCCGGCCACCTCGGCCATGCGCGGGGTGACCAGGCGGCGGCGTGTGAACTCGAGCTCGTCGTCGTGCACGTTGCTGACATCGGTGACGTCATAGCCAATCAGGGCTGTGAGCTGCTGCTGGAAGGCCACCGTGTCCTCCGAGGGCGCGTGCCGTTGCACCACGTGGATCTGGCCTGGGCTCCTGTGCAGCACCTTCCAGTAGCGCAGGCAGTCCAGGGTCTGCACCACCTGGTACTTGTCGTAGATCTCGTACCACTGCCCCTTCTTCTGGTAGAGCAGGAGGAAGTGGTCCGGCCCCAGCCGGTGGTAGAAGTCCGCTGCTCCGCTGGTCTCCAGCGCGCGCAGCCACACCTGCGCCTTCATCTGCTCCACGTTGCCGTGGCCAGCCACGTGCAGCAGCGCCGTTTCGGGGGTCTTGCTGTTGCGCTGGCTCGTGGGCAGCACGAACTCGATGGGGATGAGCTCCATGGAGGACAGGCTGGCCGCGGCGCTGCGCGGCTTCATCCTCCGGCGCCTGCGGCGGTTGTCCTCTCTCAGAACCACGGGCTGTTCATAGTTTTCCAGCTCCATGCCCTACGCGACCTGGGAGCGGAGAAACACAGGCCTTGGTCACAGGGAAGGCACTTGCCCCTTACATTTTTCAGAGGGTGGTGGAAGGACGCGTAGAAGAACGTGCACACGAGGATACAGGGGCTTTGGGGTCCGGGCCCCCGAATCCTGGCCCCGCTACCTGCTATCTGGGTGACTTGACCTAGTGAGTCTCTGAGCCTGGTTCCCAACTGTCAGATGGGGTTAGTAATACCTCAGAGGGTGGAGGTGAGAATTAAATAGGGTAATAAACTTGTTCAATATGGGTGATGGGTATATGGGGGGTTCATTAATCAATCTATTGTTTTGTTTGGACATTTAATTGAAAAAAAGATGTAACACTCATCTAGGACAGTGTGTGACATCCTATAATGGCTCGAAGTGGTAACGGTTGTTCTTAAGCATAAATGCATATACAAGTGAAACAATCCGATGACAGGATCAAGTCCTAGTTTACGAGATGCACTGGGAGATGCTGAAACACCCCACTTTGAAAACAAGCCTTCGACTTATTTCCTCTTTATTCAGTCTCACACTTCTCTTTGGGACCAAGACACCTTACCCGACCTCACCTCACATTCTCCATTTTCAAACTGTCTGGATCAGGTATCTACTCCCTAGTCAATTTCCTGTCTTTCTTTTTTGTTTTCATTTTTTTCTTTCTGGTTAGGAGAGGTAGTCACTTCATTGATAAAACTCGAAGATACCACAGTGGTGAAACTGCAGTCAAGAACGTTTGCAGATATTTAACATTTTGAATCATAAAATGTGTAAGCATCCTGGCTGTCGTTGCTACATTAGGGCAGTATCAGAAGAGAGTCAGTCACCCGGGGCCATACTCTCCTAATATGAACATTTAGGTAATTTTAATTTGTAGCAATTCCTTCCACCTGCCTCTGTGTTACATAGTGGAGAAGCCATGGGTTGGAAAGAAGGATTTGTGGACTCCAGTGACCTGCTGTTTGGATCTCAACTGATGATTTAATTTCTTTTTTGCTCTAATATTTTCACCTCTATAACCAGAATTCACAAATTTATTCTCATCAAACTTGCCCACTCTTTTCCGCAAATATTTAATAAGTACCTACCCTGCACAAAGCATTTAAGTATAAATGTGACATTCTGCAGTAGAAAACTCTTCAAATAATGACTGAAATGCTAAAAATATTAAAATTGAAATATGAATAAGGTATTTTGATTTTAATATTTAGTATCATTACATTGTAAGATGTATTCTAAATAAGAATCAATATCCAAAAATTTAATGTTTCAGAAAATACCATTTACTCTCTTAAATGACTAATGCTAGTGAAACCCATAACTAGTTATTTCCTTAAGAAATAAAGGAGCATTTGATATATTGCAAAAAGGAGAGTTTGATTAAAAGATAAGAAAGACAAGTTTCCTTAGCTCAAAACTTCTGTTCGAATCTTGGCTCAAACCTGCTTTTAAAGTCAATCTTCCCTCTCTTAAAATATTATGAAGTTATACTTAGTAAATACATGAAACCAACTGTCCCCAAGAACTGTCATTTGCAGCTTAAAACAGACACCATTTCATCTTTTGCTACATTATAGAATAACTAACAAAGAAGAGAACCGTAAGATACATTAATATTGACACTAACTTGAAATAAAAAGGTCCAAATTTAGGCAACATACGAATACATAGCAGTAAGTTCTGCCTCGATGAAACTAAGCAATTGTGCAAGATACAAGATGCAGGAGAAGACAGGCTGACTGAATACTCACTGCTGTCCTTCATGGTTGAGGCTACGAAGCTTTCTCCTTTTACGAGAAGACGTTAGAAGCACTCTTTCGTACAGTAATCGCTAAGGATGCACTTGTAAGAACATGAAGCCTGGCTGGCAAGAGGCCCTCCCTTTTCCTCCCAAACCAAAACAAGAAAGGACTGATACACCTGCAAAGCCGCTGCCGGAACCTCGTGGATATCCACACATAGAGGTCGGACCAGACAATGAAACAGACATTTGGCGGTGGTGTCATCTCAAGAACTGACAAACAGCTCCAGATAAAAATATTCTAGCCGAGAAGGAAGTGTCACTATTCCGAGTCAGAGCGAACAAAGGGCAAAAAAATAGAAGGATGTAATACCTGATAAAGCAGTGCAGGCGATGATGCTGAAGGATCATTTGTTTAATTTTTGAAAACAAAACAAATTCAGACCTACCCAGTGTGCCTCTAAACCCTTCCGCTTTTCTGCGTCTCCCTTCAGATCCAGATGCAGAGGAAGTCTTGCAGTTACCAGGAAGGAAGTTTTAACCAAGTTGATTATACGTGTGATTGCTCATTTTAAAAGTGGCAGAAATGCATTTCCTGTCATAGCACAGAGAGCAAAGCACACGAATGAGCAATGTTTACCATATATATATTTTTTACTTTTGGAACTAATTCTTTAAAAATTGTGAGAGGCTGGAACAGATTAAAATTACATAGATCCAAACAAAAAGTACGCATTCAAGAGACATAAACACATGAAATATTTTTCTAGCTGGTTCTAAGTAGAAGAAAAAATGGCCACCATATTAGAGAAACAATGTGGTGGGAAGATTTTTTAAGAGCCAGATTAAACCCATGAGTGTCGCAAGCCCATTCGATTAATTTTCCCTCGTGGGAATTCAGATGGACCCTTGTTTCGACACTGTAACTGAGAGAGAGGGAAGAGGAACCTAGTGAGCTAAGCGGCTGAGTTGTCGAGCAGAACATTTTCAAAGTCAAAGTTTGGGAGCACACTTCCTTGGTTTGGTGAGACATTTCTGTCTTTTCAGAGCATTCAGGGTCTAAAATATCACTGGCTCAAACTGAAAGTACAGTGTGTGTGTGTGTGTGTGTGCACGCACGTGTGTGCGTGTGTATCTGTGAGTGTTGAGAATGGAGCCTTACTGTGAGCAATGATCGACTGGAGACAAAATAGAAGGAGGTTTCTTGGTATCATGGGAAAATTGGGGAACTGAGCACTGTCACATCATTAGACAGTCACTGGGAGATGGCTCCTGATTCCCATGGGAGTAGAGAATCCAGAAAAAAGCCATCCTAAATTTTTTTTAGAGCAATTTTATATCCTCAAGGTGACCTCAATTCCTTCTAGAACCCCCAGGCACCCTCAGATCGTCACCGTGTGCCCCCTCTCCTCCATCCCAGGGTCTTCTGTATCAGAATTCATCCTCCAACCTGGGACCTCGTGGACTCCAGCTGAGCCCCGGGGACAACAAGTAGGATGGCGCTGTCCTCACAGGTTTCTTGGAGGTAAATAATTGAGAGTTCCTCTGAATTACTCTGACATCAAGATAAGTGATCGTTTCATCTGATCTATCTCCTTTCACATAAGCCCCTGGGGTCTTAGTTTCCTACAAACAGCACTATAATAATTGACATCAGCAGGCAAACCATTTAATTCGAAGACTGCCTCCCAAATATTTAGAGGGGGCTTATCAGCTCCCCAAAGTATATTCCTATGTAGGAACACTCCCTTAGGAGGCTGGCAGCTTTAGGAGCCTCAGAGCTGGCCCTCTTGGTTGATTCAGAGGGAGGGACCAAGGAGCCACACTGTAGGAGCTTGCCAAGCCATGCTTCACCCAGAGTGTGTGGGAGGGCTCATGGGGTTGGGTGGGCTGGCTGGGGGTTTGAGGTTGCTAGGGCCAACCACAGAGGGACCATTAGCTTGGCCAGCTCTGTTCCCCAGATCATTCAACAGAGTCCTTCTGTGCCCTGGCTCATTCACACCCAGGGGGCCAGGTCTCAACCTGACACCACATACACACACACTAGTTATTTCACAAATGCTAGACTCTGGCTCTTGAGTCTCCTTGCCTCTGCAGAAACTACTCAGCTAAGTCCAATTATGCAAAGGTTGTCTGTTCTATGACTAAACTTGCGAATACTTCAGGCTTTATTGGTGGTCTGAGATTAAAAATACCCTGCTCTTCCCCAAATCCTAATATAGCCAATAACATGTGACCGAATGTAGTAAATGTTCCAAGGGAGAAGTAATGGCCAATGTCCCCTTCTTCTATGTGGACACCTCCTCCATGCAGAGGAATTCTTTACTAGTTTGGGCCTCTTTATCCCCGGACGTTTGAGGTTAAAAGAGCCCTAGGCCTCATCATTATCCTGTTTTAGTAATATGTTTTTCCTTCTTCTTTTTTTGCCTTCTGTGAATCTCCACGCATCTAGCACCATGTTTTCCCTATAGCAGACATATGTCACATTTTGGTTGGAAAAAAGAAAATACAATCAAATAGCATGACTTTTATTTCACATCCAACAATTACGGGAACAAGAAGATAGAACCGATTAGAAAATGAGAAACAGTAAGATGTGTCAATGGTCAGTTAAGACTAAGAATGAACCTCATTTGACTGACATTATAAGGAACCACAAGGCTTTGGAAATATCCCCTTTATATCCCCCTGCCTGATCCAATTCATTACTTCTCTTTGTTGTTCTCTTATTAATATTAACTGAAATATAAGACAAAAAACTGCCTGTACCACATCCTTGTGAACAGAAGTCCTCCCACATAATGGATACCCAGACCCATCTCTGGGACCTCGCCTTCAGAATTATCAGCAGACCGTCAAGTATTTTTATCTTCTACCTACACACCTATCTAATCACCTACCCGTCTCTATATGCCTCTTGCACACATACCACGATCTGACAGACACAAAGCTGTTTGCAGGAGGGCGTCAAGTTTCCAAACCAAAGATGACGCCTTCATTCACGGGATTTTTCCTAAGGGCAGAGCAGAGGGTCCTAGGAGAGAGGACGACTTAGCAGACCAGCCTGCACGGAGCCTGCTCTCAAAGGCCTGGTCTGAGGCCCGGTGGTGACTTTATAACCGAAGCTGCTTCTCAGGCCTTTGTAGGGGACATTGCTCCTTCCAAAGCCGAGCTTCTTGGCTGAGAGTCTGGCAGGAGGCACATCCCGCTGGAAGGAAGCCAAGAGGATGCCCTGCCTCTCCAGGTTCAGAAAAAGGGCGCAGGAGTGCGGGCTGGGGCGGGGGCGCTGGCTCTTCCCCGGCCGGGACGCAGCGAGGCCACAGCCCTGCGCGGCCGCCTCCAGTGATGGACGGCCGGGGACCTCGCCCGCCTCCTGCTGTCCAGCGCCGGGTCCCCGCCGGGCGCCGGCGGGAGGGCGGGGCCGGGCCTCCTCGCTCGGCACCTACGAGGAATCCTCTCGCCTCCAAAGCTCGGTCCGCATTTTCTGCAATTATCCGTTTCGGGGGTCTGTTGCATCCCACGCGAATTTTCTGCAGATCGGGAAAAGCGCTGATGGGTGTGGCTGAGTGAGGGCGCGAGTGCCCCCGGAGTGTGCCTCACAGCCCCCGCCCCCCCCCTCCCCCCTCCCCCCTCCCCGCACGCTCCTGCCGGCCCCAGCATTTCGCATTTTCTTTGAAAATGGTTGCCCGGGCACCCCTCCCCTCTCTCTTTCCTTCCTTTTCTTTTAAAATAGTATTTACCGACTTGAGCGGGGAGGGGCTTCGGGGTTGCTGGTAAGGTTCCGTTTCTCGAGGAGGTGGGGTGACCGATTTGTAAGCATTCATTAAGCTGTACACTCATGGTCACTTTTCTGTGTGTGCGTTATACATCCATAAAAATTCAAAAGATAGTATTTACCTAAAGTTATTTTTACTTAAAAATGTATAAATTTAAGCTACCTCCCATACTTTATTTATTTTTTTTTTGAGGAAGATTATCCCTGAGCTAACATCTGCTGCCCATCCTCCTCTTTTTTGCTGAGGGAGACTGGCCCTGAGCTAACATCCATGCCCATCTTCCTCTAGTTTATGTGTGGGACGCCTACCACAGCGTGGCATGCCAAGCGGTGCCACGTCCGCACCCGGGATCCGAAATGGCGAACCCTGGGCCACCGGAGCAGAATGTGTGAATGTAACCGCTGTGCCACTGGGCCAGCTCCCACCATACTTTCTTAATTAAGAGGATTTTTTTCTTCTTTTTTCCCCACGTTCTTGGCAGACTCCTTCTCTCCATGTGAATCTGATGTTTCAGGTGGAGGTCGGAACTGGCCCATCGTGTCTGCCCCTTAGAAGCTGTGACCTCTGTCCAGATGCACCATCTTTATCTAGCTGGAGTGCCATCGGGCTGGACAGAATGTCATAAAGGAAACATGGTCACGTTTGGATTCATTTGGAGGGAAGAGGTCTCTGATCCAAGCTGCTGTTGTGGAATTCCATTGAATTATTCACTGACGTCCGCATCCATTCCCATTTGTTCATGCATTCCTTTAGCGTTTATTATTGAATATCTCTGTGTGCCGGCACGCAGAGTCCCTGTCTGCAAGGCGCTTGCAAGTTAGCAGGGCAGAGAAGATGTCCACCAATAATCATCATGCCCTGGGGACATAAGAGAAAACCTCAGAGCTCTGCTGAGAAAGGGTTACAGGGGTTCAGAGCAGGATGCTGTCTTTTCCAGCTGAGCCTTCCAGAAGGAAGACCTTAGTAGGGGGTAGCAGGGACATCAGCAGAACTGGGCAGGCAGAGGTGAGGGGAAGGAGCATTCTAGCAGAGGAAATCATATAGGCAGTCCAAGTTCAGAAGAGTGAAATTTTCTTAAGCAGCCAGGAATGGGAGAAGAGGCCAAGAGAGGCTTGGCTGCGGCCAAGTCATGGTATTCGTGACAGGACCAAGGCAAGAAGCATTTTATAGGACTTGCTCAACGATCAGGAAGAGCCAAATGGGACAGGGTGGGGGTGGGAGTAGGGGTGGGGTTAGAGTGCATCTCTAGGGCCCCCTGGACTCTCTTTTTCAAGCTAACAGCTTTATTGAGAGATACTTTACACAGTTTTAACCCTTTGCATAGTTCTCTGAGGCAAATGCCACAGCCGTCATGTATTCGTTAGGTATGCCTCCTGTGCTAATCACTATAACAAAATCTCAGTGCTTTCTTTCTTTCTCACATCATAGTCCCCAGCTGGCTGGGTCGGGGAGGCGATGTCCTACATTCATTCAGGACCCAGCTCCTTCCAACTAGTGGTTCTGCTCTCCGCTAGAGCTTGGAGTCCTTCACTGGGTCTGTGAATGGCTCACAACTTTGTGCCCAGATTCCATCGGCCAGAACTCTGTCC